ACACACACACACACACACACACACACACACATACGCACAAATGCACAGTGCATTGCATGATGGCAAGCAAATTTGCACTGTATACCGGACAATTTTGGCGAGTTGAAAATTTGAGTTCATGCATAAATTCGCATTTTTTCTGCAATAATGATTACAAGTCATATGTGCATAAAACGCATTATTGTGTTACTTTCATATATTCAAAGCTCTAAAAATATTTTTAATTTATTTTAAATGATCCTAAGTTAAAAGAGTATGAACACTGTCATTAAAAAAAAAGATATTTAGATTTTAAGCACGACAGTAAAATAAATGCTAATAGCCACATATGCAGTTAAATTTCGAGTGATATCGCTAATTTTGTATTACCAGCCTAGATAATTTCTTCACATTGTTGCTTGTAAATGATGAAGTTAGCTAGGAAAAAATTTCCCAGAGATAATTTTTCAGAACTACTCAAATTATTACTTCAATCTAAGAAACTGTACCAAAATAATTGCTATCCAAAACAGATGTTTTTCAAAAGTTGCTGTCAATATTACTATTTTTCAAACGTAAAGGCAGATTAAATGCACACTGTCAAGCAGTTTGTCTTGTAGATGATATGCATTCAGAAAGTAACTGTTTGATACGATCTTTTTTTTCAACTCAAACTACTATGTAGTTTCTGGACTATTGAAAATTTTGAATGAATCAAATCAAAAAATCTTTGGACTCTTTGAAGTCAAAAAATCTTTAAAACTCTTTACATTCTGAAAAAATGGGATAATCGATGTAATTATGCTTATGTAATTGGACACGATATTTACAAAAAAAAACTCGGTATAAATATGTCACAAATTTATGCAACAATCTGGCATATTTCTGAACAAAAACGAATTAAGAAGCCATGCGCGTTACTTTATAATATGAATGGTTGCTTTAACTGTTCCCTAACAGGTATTCTTTTTCATGCACTGGGACTGTCTCGGTTTGATCACCACTCAAAATATCTTCTTACCTTTCAGCAAAACAAGCGGTATTTAAGAAGAAGAATAAAACTGACTGATAGCATCCAGCAATCAATGACACATTTACGCTTTGTGAAAAAATAAGCCTTAGAAATTTCCAGCCCATACTACACTATTTGGTGTACTGTGATCTGTCATGATTAATGCCTTATATAGTTTGGTTTTTAAAAATCATTTTGTCCATTTCAAACCTCCCACTGCGGCATATTCAACTGCTTCACAAAATAGCTCATTTGATTATTTTAACTAAAATTACTTTTTTTATTAAAAGCAAAGCGTTAAGGATATGTAAGCAACAATATCGTATTGCGTTTTCATTTGAGTCGGGGAAGATACACTCTCAAATGGGAATATATAAATATCCAATATCCGATACTCAGACGCTTCTTGGATAAAAAAAAGGTAAGGAGATCGTATATATATATATATATGATCTTACCTTTTTTTCTCATATCCTAAATTGTATTTGAAAAGGAGTCGAGCCGTTATTTCTAAATTATAAAAAATTCCTAAATGAAACACGAAGCAAAAACATACCATTGTCTTTGTATCCCATTCCTAATATAACTTCAGGTGCACGATAATAACGTGTTACAACATATGGCGTCATCATAAATGAATCACCGGCGCTTCGTGCTAAACCAAAATCCAATATTTTCAAACTACAATCACTTTTAACAACAATATTGCTCGGTTTGAGATCCTAAATAGATTTTCATTGAGAACAAATACATGTTGCAGTACTGAACAAGTCTGAATATTTATTGGAACTTAATGAAGGATTGAAATTAAAATCAATTAGAAGAAATTTTCATTATCCATGTTTATTTGTGTTATTTTTGATATAAATTGGTAAATTTCATTACTACATAATAAATCGGAAAATTCATCAAGTATTTAAAAAATGGTAACTGTTCGTTCCAGCCTAAAAATCTCGATCGTTCATTGATTTTTGAAATCATAAAATATCCCTTTCTTTTTAAAGAAATATACTGCAGCAGTAGAAAAGTAACGTTTTTGCTATTCATGGTAATATATTTTCTAATGAAGAGAGGAATGTGAAGAAGAAAATAACCCGGTGTATGATACCCGCAGCATGCAAATGTCTGATGCCACACAACATTTGATACAACAAATACGACATCCTTTCATGATCCAAATCCATTTGTATTACTTGACATAAATTAGCATCCATAAGTTCCATTACTATATACAAATCAGAAAATTCATCAAGTGTTTTCTGAGGTGTAAACGCATTCAACAATCCAATTATCTACAAAAAGAAAAGATTTGTTAAGTTTAAAAAAAAATGATGAAAGACTACCAGCTGAACGTGTACATATTTCTTGGCGTTAAAATTTCTTTTTCATTGTAATACCTGCGCAAAAATTTGATCACAGTGAAAAATACATGAACTTCCGTATCCTATTCTGAAATCCGTTAGAAGAAGGAGAAAAAAGTGAAATTTTAAAAAATTTCAAATATGAACTAACATTTTTATGGTTAACAAGATTCATCAACTTGAACTCTCTATAAGCTCGTTTAGCATGCGTTACATTTTGGAACGGACGACTTAGTTTCTTAATAGCGACTTGCTCATTACGAAGCGTATCATGTGCAGCACTACAATTTTTTTATTTGAAATCAGCAAAATTTACAAATCAAAATTAACTTTTGACAACAAATTATAATAGGCTACTAAATATTCCAATTTAAAATAAAAATTGGAATAATTTTTCTAACCCATCACTATCTAATTTAAAATACAAAAGAAAAATGCAAAAAAATTGCAGTGAAAAAGATTAAATAATTAAAAAGAAAATGTGTTTCCGTACATTCTTTGATAACTCCAAAATAAATTATGTATTTTAACTTCGAATTATGAATTCTGTATTTAACTATTTAATATTTATAAGTATTTAAACCCCAACCTGGGATCGATGTTGTGAACCTAAAACAATAGAAAGATACATCAGGCCAACTCTTTTAAATCTACCTGAAGCTCCTTCGTTTATATGACTGGCCTTCATCAAATGACCTCTTGATACAAACAACTATTTGTTTGTATCAGGAGGTCATTTGTTTCTAAATTTCAGTAGCCGTATCTAATGAACTGTTAAACATTAATTATCATGATGAACGGATATGTAATTATTAGTTTTACATTCGACTTCAAAATACTTACCATACGACACCCTGTGCACCAGACCCGATTATCCTTAAATTCTGATATCGCTTTAAAACACACAACCGCGTGTCATTAATGTCAACGTTGTAAAATTCAGATGCAGCAGAAGTGGAAGCCATGGGAGTTGGATAAACGCTGAAATCCAATACAATTCAGACTTAATATGGCAATCAATAGTCATATAACTTCAGTGCTCACTGAATTTCTTCTTAAACTTTAATAATCTTAAACTTTTTGTACACTACAAAAAATCCATACACGAATAATTCATCTGCGGTTGCTCAATGGATTCATAATTAGATTTTACAATGCTCATATTATCACATCTTTCAACAAACTACTTGACTGCAACTTCAAAAAACGAATCAAATATTTGACGGAGCAAACAGCAGGATAAAGTTAAGACAAAGGTGAGAAATATCATTCTCATATATCATTTCTCAAACAATTCAACTGTAGTGAAAGTACAAAAGTGAGAGCACACAAAAGCGATTGGTAATAAAGGATTACATGAAAAATGTGTATACCACCAGTAGTAGTACAATAAATAGTAATTATCGTAAAAACCAATCGTAATTCTATGTGATCTAATTTTCTTTATGGTCTAAATTAAAGACTATTAGCCTTTCTCTCTTGCCGTACTACATTGCACTTCTTTATGCCAACATTTAGCATTAAGTTCTCTTGTTTATGTGTGGTTATTTCACCAGTATCGATCAT